AATACTCACTAGTACAGATACTGCCAACCAGCCAGTAAAATACGTGTAAAGGGAAGGTAAGTTTTTAATTTACGTGTCTAAATGTAAAGAGTTTTTTTTTTCCTATGAAAAACTTCAATGGATGTCATACTTTCTTAAACATAATAGGGTGCAAAGAGGAGGGAGCCAGGCTTTCTTCAGTGATGCCCAGTGATAGGACCAGAGACAAAGGGCAAACACTGAAACACAGAAGGTTCTCCGTGTACATCAGGAAACGCTGTTTCCATGTGCAAGCGACCAGCACTGACACAGGTCACGCAGAGATGGTGGAGTCTCCATCCTTAGAGACAGTCAGAAGTCCCATGAACATGATCCTGTGCAACTCGCTCTAGGTGGCCCTGCTTAGGCAGGGGACCAGGKGGACTCCAGAGGTCCCTGCSAACCTCAGCCCTTCTGTGTTCTGTGATACTGGCTTATCACATTTTCCACGGAAATTGGAAACATCGCGGTAGTGACTCCAAGTACCCACCAGATGGCAGGAAACAGCCGAGGCGAGGCCTTCGCAAGCTTTTAATGATAAACGGTGGGACTGCGGTGTTTAAAAAGGACATGAATGCTCCTCGCCAAGAACTGGAGAATACTGCCCTCTAAAAGTCACTCTGATCTTGAAACTGTCATCTTGGTAAAAGGTAAAGGTTTGAGTCGGATAAAAAAGGAAGAATCAAAAATAACTACTTGTTAGCAATTGTTAAATTTATCTTTTGGGTTGTTTTTCCTTTTTTTTTAACACTGCTAAGCATATCTCCATTTGAAAAAAATACCTGATTGAACTTTAATATTTAGCGGAGTCGTTGAGGATGAAGGAGTAAGTAATATAAAATCTGTGTTTGAAAACCAGAAATCTTTTCCATGTGCTAGGGCATAAGGCACTTGCTGAGGCTTCCCAGTGCCATAGTAGTTTTCCAGACAAATTGTTCTTACTCTCCTGAATCCTCAGCATATCTGGATCTGCAGGAGTTCCTTCAATGTTACTGTACTACGTGTTCATTATCTTGGGCCTCATGTATCTTTCCTAGAGATCAAGCATTTGTCCATTTGGATTCCTTCAGCAGTTCAATTCAGTCTGCACCCTTAGTGCACTCTCCTGATGTGCTGTGCTCCTTCTAAAATGTGGGAGCTGCTTCCAGACAAACGGAGATACAGTCCAGCCAATTACATGATGTGTGAGCAAGCACAACARTTATCAAGAACATACAAAGCAGATTCAGTTTCCCTTCTGGAGGTGATCTGGGCCAAACTGCTATGAAAATATTGCCCAGAAGTAGCTATTGCCCTCAGAAGATGCCTATAAATTTATGATAAAAGCCCCCTGTCATTAGATAGAAGTCATAAATAATGCTCCCCAAAGAATGTTCTGACTAACAGAAAACAAAAATCTGCTGCTTCTTCATGGTTGAAATAATCCTCAAAAATCTTTTTGTGTACCAGGTTTTGTAGAAGAACAGAGAACATTCCCTACTCCGCCACCCAAAAACTCAGTGGTGATTTCCTAAGCTTAACTTCCTCCCTAGATCTCGCTGCATGCTGAGGACCTTACCTGATCACCACTGAYGACCAAAGCCTTACCCTCCTAATCCCACTGCTGCTTCAACAGAGGCACCATCGTATTTCCTCCCTGGGAAGAGAAAGGAATGTGATAAGAAGTTAGGTAACTGGTAAGACTTCCCAGTGCCACGTTCCTGAGTAAAGCTGTTTTGTTTTTCCTCTTCCTTCAAACAAGACCAAGGTAAAAGGCAAGTAAAGGTGTTCATGCACAATCTTTAAACCAGACAGTACTAATAAACAGGCAACCACACTAAAAACTTGTGTACCCTAAGATAAAAGTGGAAAAGTTTCTTATTTTTTTTTTTCTCCAGCTGATTTGCTGTGGCCTTTCTATCAGCTGTGACCATGAGGATTCTGTTATCTCTGCATTACACTTGAAGTCACACCTATTAGAAAGAAGTTGCCTCTCAGTCAGCCATGTAAGCCTTTTAAAGGCAATCTCTCCTTCAACTGCCTTAGATGGATGAGACAGATCAGTTGCAGAGTGAAAGGCTAAACTGATTTAACTTGGGAGACAGTTGTACCATTTTCCACATTAAAAGTAGAATAGTTTACATTATAGTTATGYAAATGCATCCATATGTTTTTTGGCTCAAATTTCATGTTCTGTATCTGGCTGCTTGCCCCAACAAGGGGGAAAGTTCTCATTCTTTGGTGACTGTATAGTTTCAGTAATGAGGAACCTCTTTAACCATCATTTGCATTTAACTTCACTCTGTACATGAACATAAATACTCAATGTAAATGTCTAAATATCATGAATTGTAGCGGCTGAGYCCAACAATAATTAACCACTTTGGAATGACAAGAGCTTGTTGTTGATGAATGTCCAACAACTCTCATCCAAGGACTCTTTAGAAGAGCTTACATTATTAGAATATTTCAGCATTATGCAGGAGATGTGATTTGTTATCCCTCAAGCAAAGGAAAGAACTAAACTTCAATGCTTCAGTGATTTCTTGGGTTTTATAATGSTTTAAAACCCTTGAAAACAAGATGCTGGAAGGCATATCAAAACTGAGCAAAGGTACATGTCTGTAGCTCTGTACAGCAGCTAGAATCACAGCACACTAGTGTTCTATTACTTGCTAGTGACTGTGAAGGGTTCCCTGCTCAAGAGTGACTTATCAGGTTTTTCAGTKTTACCTACAGTCAAAGAGCTTAAGGTGGGATTCCAGATCCCCCTTAAACCTTAACTATTATGATACCAGTTTTTAGGTGCTTACCTCCTTTTTTTGATCTAGTTCAAAACATTTCCTCTTGCCTAAATCTCATTTCTAGGGAAGARGATATTTAACTGCCAAGGCATTCAGCTACTTATTTTCATCAGCTGGCACCATGAGCTGTCGAAGATCCTCTCCCTTTCTGACTCCCCCCACAAGAGAAAGCAAAGTAGCAAGAAATCGGTGCTGCAGAAGAGTATAAATACGGCCCTGTGTGGCAATGTGACACAGCAATGAAACAAGATCCTTTGTCATCAAAAGTCTAAGCTGTGAATTTCTCACTACTGGCAAGCCCTGTTGTCACAGCATGTCTGTCCATATGCATCCCTGTATAGAAAAACGTGAATGCTCACAGAATTTGTGGGTCAATTGTGGGTTATTTACTGAAAAATTCGGACATGAGGAAACATCACATAGTTACCTGTTAGTCCCCTGCTCTCTGCTGTCAGTGATTCCATTTCACCTTGAATATCCAGAATAATTCACAGTGATTTCTAGCTATGGTTATGCCTGGGTAATGCTGCTGCTGGTGAGCCTAAAATTTACGTGTGTCTGACAGCATTATATGAAGTCTCTGAGATCAAGAAAAAGAAATTAAATAGACTGTAACTCATGAAGAACGAAGTGAAATATTATAAGGAAAGAAGCCTTGTTACATTACATTTACTGTAAGTTTTCCAAGACAGTTTTTCAGTTAGGAGTTAATAGACAGTTTAAAACCATGTTTTCATCTATACACTTGTCCATCTTCCCTCCTTTCTTCCTTCCTAATCATGCTAAAACTTGCTGTGTTTCCCCAAAACATTTACCTTTATTGATTTCACCAATGTTATGAAGCATGCCAGTGTAATTAAAACCATAGCTAYATAGTGAGTGGCAGCACCTTACATAACTGCATGTTATGGGTCATTATTTGATAAACACTTGGGCAATTCACCTCAGCTTGCTTGCATTAGAGACTCATTCCACACAAACTTCCAGGACTGAAAGAGTGGAAATTTTGGTTAGATAAATGGGAAAATTTTTAATTGTGAGGCTGGTGAGGCAGTGGAGCTTTAGGCTGTCTAAAGAAGCTGTGGATGCCTCACCCCTGGACGTATTCAAGGCCAGGTTGGATGGCATTTGGAGCACCTCATGTAGTGGAATATGCCCCTGCCCATGGCAGGAGRATTGGAACTAGATGATCTTTAAGGTCCATTCCAAACTAGGCCATTCAATTATTTTATGAAATTACCTCATTTCTTTTTTAATTAGTTGAGATTAAATAAGAAAATAGTGCAGCATGGAGGGGGAGAAACTTCTGGTTTTGTTCAGGCGTGACATTTGTTGTCTTTAACATGGGCAACACTCTGTTCACAGTATGTATTACTCGTTCATTCAGTATGGAACTGTTAACATCTCTGTCAGAACTCTCCGTCTGGCTGASATGCTTAATAGAACACAGAAACCTCAAAGATTAAAAATTAGTGTGAAGAACTGTGTTTAAACTTGCTGCTGGTTCTTTGCTCAGCATTTGAGGAGAGCAAGTCCAATGGGGAGCTGAGAGTGTTTAGCCTGGAGGAGGCTTGTGACTCTCTGKAAGTACCTGAAAGAAGGTTGTAGCCAGCTGGGGGTGGGCTTCTTCTCCGGAGAGTTTCAGGTTGACATAAGGAAGAATTTCTTCACCGAACATTGGAATGGGCTGCCCAGGGAGGGGATGGAGTCACCGTCCATGGAGGTGTTTAATGAAAGCCTGGACGTAGCACTCAGTGCCCTGGTCCATTTGACAAGGCCATATTCAGTCATAGGTTGGACTCGATTAGAGAGGTCTCTTCTAACCCAAATGATTCTGTGGTTTTTTTTTTAAATTTTCTTCTTTTTGCAGAGGGAGAGCACAATATGTGACAGAGGAAAAGATGAAAAGGGGAATATAAAGAGGGGGGGGGGGGAACCCCAGAACATTTAGACAGGAAAATAAAAACGCAGAAAATGTACCCTGCGCGGAGCTCTAAACAGCTCCRTTCGCACGTCACGGGCAGCGCCTCTGCCTCAGCGCTCGGCGATACCATCTCGTGGCGGAGGTGGGGGGGAAGAGCCTGACGAGGAGAACACTGAGCCGGGGGAGAAACAGGCGTGCCCCCCGCCCCTCCGCGGTAAGTGGGAGAGGCGAGGCGAGGCGAGGCGCTTCTSTGGCGCACGCGCGGTGAACGCTCAGTGCCCTCCGCGGCGGAGGAGGCGGCGGAGAGCGGCCGGGCTGGCGCTGCGCTGGCGGCGATGGCGGAGGGCGGCAGTGCCGCCGAAGAGAAGGCAGACAACGCCAACGCCTCGTCCTCACCACCGCCATGCTCCCCTGCGGAGGGCGGCGGAGCGAAGCCACTAAGCGCAGCGGAGTACGCGCGGCGCGTACACCAGTGGCTGTGGGACTCATACTGCGGGTACCTGGGCTGGCAGGGATGTCCRCCCGCCCTCCTCGCCGCCGCACAGCCTTTCCCGCCCGCCGCCGCTGCCTACTACAGCCCCTTCTACCTCTGCGCTCCGCCGCCGGCACACACGGCCCCCGCCGGGACGGGGCCCCGAGCCCCCGCCGCTACCACCCCAGCCTGGCCGGGGTCGGCGGGCGCGGTGTCCCCCCTGCCTAGGGCGGCCTCGAGCAGCGCCGCCGGTGCCAGCGGCAGCGGCGCCCCCAGGGACACGGGGCGACCGGCGGGTGAGTGGGGGCCGGGGCTGGGGCTGTCGGCCTGGGGAGGAAGGGGAGCCTGGTGAGAGCCCCATCTCCAGGAAGCGGGATCTGACGAGGGAAGCCGGGGGTGTGCGACGTTGGGAGTCGCTGCGCTTCCGTTGGCTGCGGCCGCCGGCATGTGGCTGTGCCTTGTGACACAGGTTGTATACTCAGAACTCGGTCCATATGCAGGTCTAGACAAAGGGTGACAGCCCTCATACCGAAGTCCTAAGTCCAGAACTTGGTCCATAGGCAGGTTTGCAGGAGCTGACTTGCTGGTACAGCTTACAGCTTCAGTGCTTCTAAAGATGTTTTCACTGATACGAGGGTATTTTTTTTTTTTTGCAGTGGAGTTTATTTTTGTGGTCACAACCTTGTAATGAGTGTAACTTTATAAGTAGTCGGTTTGGATGATGGAATCTAAACTAACCTTGCCAGTTTTAGTGCTCAAATAAAATAATTTGGTGCTCAAATAAAATAATGTAGTGAAATCGAAGCAGAGAAATGAAAAYATGTTGACATTGAACAAGCTTACGAGGCAGGACCCGAAATAAACAGCTGCTGTCTGTTGCAGCTGTAAATATTGAAGGCAGTGCACAGCAGGCCTTCTGTTTATATTTGTTCAGGAGTAAAGCAAACTCATTCTGATCATGTCAGAAGTAAAACCTGGAGCAGCAACAATTGCTCACAAGTCGAGGAGCACCTAGGTCACATTCCTTGAATGTTCCGTACCAACATGAGCAATGGTTGGAAATAGTGGAGGAGAGCACTGCTGACGGACTTTGGAAAAGCCAGATCTCGTTTCTCTCTGCAGGACAAACTACGACATTGCTCATCTGTAACATTATTTATAAGCTTTGTGTCTGCATGTGTGTGTAAGACATTTTTCGTTCCTTTTCCTTCTTTTTAAGGGAAGGGAACCTGGCTTCTGAGCCTGCTTCTTTCTTATGTTTTTGAACAGATGTTGCTTAAACATGGTTAGAAACACAAAATAGTATTTTCTGTAATATTGTCCTGCTTATGAACTGATATTGCCAGTCATTAAAAGGAGGATTGAACAAAGGCTAGCCTGATACGATTCTGGGTTTTTACCTAGTTTTTCAGGAGCTCATCCCATATGTTAAAGGTAATTTAGGTCATGAGTAGTATTTCATGCTGCTGAACATGGTTATTCTGAATATTGCATACTATTCCAACCCCTGGCCTTTTAAAGGGACTTTGCATGTGATACACTGATACAATACAGTTATAAACAAAGACTCTGGTGCCAGTGCTTTGGCTTCAGATTGCAGATGGATCTATCTGGAACAGCTAAAGTGATTATGGCTCCTTCTTCTTTGCTGTAGATTACAGCCCACACAGCAGGCTTGGCAGGGCAGGTCATGTCTGTCCCTGTGTCAATGCAGTTTACAGCCYGTGTGCTTATGTAAGCTGAAGTAAGTGACAGCTTATGTTAACGTTGCAGATTTTGAACTGGCATGTCAAAAGGTGGGATTGTTAACTGCTTCTGCCACTTCAGTCTGCCTGCAGGTGTGTGTCAGAGCACCAGTATTAACAACACCCTGGGCAGTGACAGGCTCTTTGTGGGCAGTCACCATGATTTAGGACACTGCCTTCCCTTGTTCSTCTCTGCCTTTCTGCAACAGATTACTGCTCATCCATTGGGAACAGTAGGGCAAAAGGTGCATCAGCTGCCCTGTGGCTGACTCGTACAGATCTATGTTGAGCACTAGCTGGGTGCAAGATCCTAGACATTGAGCTGGATAGATGTTGCATTTGGCTGTCCCTGCTGAACAAATAGTAACCCTTGGCAGGAGTGGATTTCTGATATGAGAAGCATCTTGAATCACTTCGGTGTAAATCTGCCAGAGTCTAAAGGTTGCCAAAGTTTCTTAATGTGATGGAGTTGAACATAATTTGAATACTTATTTTCTTAGCCCCATGTAGCTTCTTCTTTATGCATTCAATTTAATTTATTCAATGGTGCATAAGTCAATCTCTGCCACCAACTTCACCAAATGTGCTGCTTTTAACAGTGCAAATGAAAGCTTTCATCTGGTGCTCAGGCCAGTTTGAGAGACTGGCTATGTTCCCTCCTGCCTTAGTTGAAGAATCTTTAATTAGAATTTAACTGACAACTTTGATAGGCTTTGACAATGCCAATGGAATCCATTTTAGTCTTATACATGTAAGTCATGTTACTTGATGCTCTTGCTGCAGAGCTGTCAGTGGAGCAAGTATGAAATGAAGCTGTGTAAATCCAGGTATGATAAAATCAGGTAATGGCTATTACCTGATCCCTGCCTAATTCTCCTTACCCCATTTAAAAGTGCTGTGGGCTTTTGGCTTGGCTCWCACAGCTCACAGGGCCTTGACGGGCAGCATCGGTCTCAGTAGCCGAACTGGGGAGCCTTACTCTAAATGAAATTTGATGTTTTTTGAGGTTAGAGAGTGGTATGATTTTATTTCCTCTTTTATCCTTTCTGTGTGTGGGGATAGGTATTCTCAGAAACAGTAACAAACAGTCACTATTTCCCACAGATTTCCATCTGATAGTAGTGGGGSATTTCTAAATGAAGTTTTTATGTGAGTCATTGCAGGTTTCATGTGACAGTCATGTTTATCTCTTTTGAAATAGAGGAGTATGTGGGTCCAGATGAAATTCTTTTGCAACATTATTTCTTGGAAACTTTCTAAGACACTCTAATGTTTTCTCTGCTTAAGTCACCTGAGCAACAAAAGCTTTTAAGTGACTCCTTACTTTGTGCCCATTTGCACTTGACCAAATAAATAGAAGAAACATGTTATGTTTTCTGGGTGGGGGTAGAGCAGTATACTGTGTGTTATTGTAAGTAGTCTGTAGAAAAGTGCTTATGTCAAGTATGACTGATATTTTCATCCATTCCTGTTTGTGTCTGAGTGGACACAAAATAGGCTGTGTTTTACTCTGAGAGTTGGTACTTGGTACACATGCAAGCCTTAGTGCTGAAGGATAGATTTACCATAACCCTTCTATCTGATTTTCTTTTTAATCTGACCTATCAGATGTATATAAATCTGTTCTCTATGAGGTTGTTCTAACAAAAGAACAGAAAAACTGATGCATCTTCAAATGTTCTCAGTTGTTTAGCAGAGTATGATTTTRCCTGTGATCCTAATTATAAGGTAACTCAGAGTTCTGAAAGACTCMAAGCTCTTAAAGAAAGTTCTTCTAACTCAATTTAAACAATTCAGATTATTTTTTATGCATTCACTTACAGAAGTTTTCTTGAAGAACATGTGAGCTGTGGTCAGGCTCTTGATTATGTTGTTGCAGAGAGGTTAATGTGAGTTGTTCTTTAGATGCTAGTGTTAACTTTGTGTTAGTGAAGTAAAATCTGGGTAATGTGAACTATTTTTGTTGCAGGTCAGGAGTTCCTTATCCCTTCACTGGCACACAGGTTCATAGCAGAGATGGTGGATTTTTTTATTCTGTTCTTTATAAAGGCAACCATCATTTTAAGTATTATGCACCTCAGTGGAATAAAGTAAGTTGAACAATTTAAAGCTTTGTTACATAGAGCTTTAAGCTTTTCATGCTCTTTGAGGTGTCAGGTTGTATTTATGGTATGTTTATGCATATGATATAATTAAATAACTGAATAGAAGTTGAAGGAAAGTACCACTTGGCTAACTTTCTTGKAAGTACATCCTGATTTTGGGTCAGCTGATGGAAACACAGAATGTGTACAGGTCTACAGGCTCACATACTCCCTACTAAGGAAAGATTAGAATTGCACATTTATGGGGGTGGGGGAGGGGGCATAATAGCAAAATTAAAAAGTCTTTTTTTAATTTTCAAAGAAAAAAAATTGACAAATTTTTTAAACAGTCTTTAAAAATGTACTAGATTTGGCTGGGATGAAACTAATTTTCTTYATAGCATCTTTTGTGGTGCTGTGTTTTAGATTTCTGACATAAACAATGCTAACCCACACCAAAAAAAAAATCTGATCAAGCATATCAGAGATGTATAGTACTTTGAAAATACAACCTCGTTGCTAGGAATGCTGTCRCATTGTAGGCTTTACTGGGTGTGAGTTTGGTTTCTTAAAGAGTGCAGGTAAGCATTGTGTATGTCAACTGTACACTAGAATGAAAGATTTGTCATTTCACAGTTTTGTACACAGATGTAATTTACCTGAAAGACTTCCTATTTTAACTGCTTCTGAAATGGTAGATACCTTATTCCTTAACTCAGTTACTCTTCTTTGGGTTGGTGTAATCAAATATTTCAGTCTGATTAGAAGATGAGATCTTGCTGTAATCGATAATTCCACTACTGTACAAACACACTTCAGAACTCAGGCTTTCTGTTAAAGAACCATTCCAACATTATCTGGCTGTAAAGTGAGACTATACAGATAACATCTTCCACGCACCTTCAACTGCGGCTTGAAAGGGCCGAGGAAGAGGGTCAAATCCAAAACAATAAATGTGTTGATGTAAATGATCATTGGGTTTTGTTCAGATAAGMAGCAATTAAAATGCCAAATGTTCATTTTTGTTCAGCTGCCGAATCCCACCACCTGATGAATCCCTACACCTGACAGCTTGTGTTTCCATTTTGGCTTTAGTAGGTGGAGAATGATACAAAATGAAGTACTGGAAAGATAGGGAACAAATATATATATATATATTGCTTCTGTAAAGTGGTGAAAGAGTAATTTACAACATTTTCAATATTAATAGTTTTGTGAGAGTCAGTTGCTTACAGGGGACTTCAGAGAAGCATTCTGGGGGGCTTTCTGCTTAAAAGATAGGGTGTGTTTGGGGTTAGGCTGAGGTGTCATGAAAAATGTGTCCTCACAGGCTCGTGAAAGACACTTCAGGCCAAAGCTGTATTGAAGGGAATTACGGCTTTTACTACAGAATTTTATTAATTCCTGGGTTGTTTTGGTTTTTTTTTTTTCAGTCCTTAAGTCTGAATAAAGAGGAGGGCAAGTAGTACAAATATTAGATGGACTGTTTTGAAGTGGGATTGCCCATTTTTATGTGAGCCTTAATTAGATGCATGAGTGAAAAAGTCTTGCCTGAATGTGTTGCAAGTATATCCATTCCAGGTATCAAATAAGAGTGTTAAATCTGTGTTTCTCTTTTGAAAATATGCCATTAACTCAAAATGGATACTTTGTGTAGCTGTTAGGCTAAAAACCACTAAGTTTCAATGCTTTATGTTTAAATCTCCTACTGCATACCAAGGTGCCTCCAGAAAAGTATGGTGAGTAGTAAAGAATGAGAATGAAGAGCCCTATGAGAACCCTGATCATGCAAAGGGCTCTCAGTTTCTTAGGGAGACCTGCAGCTTCTTCCTTGCATTTTCTTTTTCCTTGAGTGTTTGTGTAAGAAAGGTATTTGGAGACTTGGATGCCTTTCATTTATATCAAGTTAGATGATTACCTGCAGAATCTGTTTACCTCCTAAGAAAAGCGAGAATTTTCAGAACAATTCTGCAGCTCACTACGCWGGGACACCATTGTGCAAAAGTGGTAATAAAGAATGAGCATCTCTTAATGAAAAAGACAAAAGAAACTAGGCAGCAATTCAGAATGAAACTGAGTGTTCTGAATTTTAATTACTTGTTTAGTATCAGAGCGGGCAAGGAGCTTTTGTTCTTTTGTAATCCCAGAACTGAGGGACTGAATTCTGGTATTAAAGGGGTAACATCGGTATGAGGAGGAGGATGGCTTTAAAGTTCAGTTTTATTTTGTACAGGGACATCTCTAAATTTGCCATGCATTACATCATAGAAGAAATAGATGAAGATACATCCATGGAAGATTTGCAGAAAATGATGATTGTAGCTCTCATCTACAGGTTATTAGTCTGCTTTTATGAGGTAACTACTCCTAAACATTAATTCCTATAATGAATAGTTATGAGTTGTTGAAGAAATGGATTTAAAGAATTATTTTACCATTGGCCAATAAAGTAAATCCTCTTTACAGTATTTTGGATTCTGTTGAAGCTTATTACATTCACATAGTTCTGAGGATAACAAAGTTTGCTAGGCCTATCAATAACATAGGGGTGTGTGGAATTGAAATAACCTTTCTTTTACAGATAATCTGTATTTGGGGAGCAGGTGGAGCAACCCCAGGGAAATTCTTGCTTGGACTGCGAGTTGTGACATGTGAAACATCTGTACTTATTGCACCCAGCCGTGTGTTAGTCATTCCATCCTCTAATGTCAGTATGACAACGTAAGTGCTTCTGGCTCGGTCACATTGCATTCAGGTTAATAGTGTTGAAAGCATGTGATGTAGAAGGAAATACACCATTGCATTTTTGTTGACCTTTGCAATGTTTAGACTGCAACAGCTATTGTCAGATTCTGTGTTTTAAAAATAAAATGGTAATTGTTCAATCATATGGAGTATGTTTCAGGATATGTGGCTAAATCTCCTGTGGAGCTTGGCTTTTGTGCTGTGCAAAACTTGGGCGCTAAACTTGGAAATTAACTACTAATATAAGCAGGGAAGTGAAAGTAAGGCACTGAATGTTCTGTTCTGATTTCAGGTCCACAGTACGAGCTTTGATCAAGAATTTTTCTATTGCATCATTTTTTCCTGCGTTCATTACGCTGCTGTTTTTCCAGCATAACAGAACAGCCTATGATATTGTAGCAGGAACTATTGTGGTCAGAAGAAATGGAATCAGATGATACCAAAAGATGAGATTTCTGGACTGGTTCTAAGCAACCCCTCCAAACCCCAGTGAATAAAGACCTACCCCAGAACCTAAGTTGAGGTATCTGTTGGAGTCTTTTGCCCTAATTAAATGGAACTGATTCAGAAGCTAAAGAAAATGTATGGTGCCTGTATGATGCCCGCAACTACCTTCGAAGTATTGGAGTTTTCCTAGATGCCAAAGAAATTTGGGAGACAAGAATATTAAATCCAGGAGTATTAAATCCAGGAGTATTAACTTCCAACTGATGAGACAGAAACTGTTTTAACTGCAAAAAGGAGCTGTTTGTCCATCTGTGGAAAGCAGATCCCTAAGAACTACTCCACCTTAAAATAAATGTTGCTTCTACAGTTTCGGATGTTGGCAGGTAACTATAGAAAATAAAGTYGTTTTCTGAGCAGTTGCCTATCAAAGGATAAGGGGAAAGAGACCTGCAGTATTAGACAGCAAGACAAATGATGTTCATTAAATTGCCATGTGTGCAGAAAGGGAGATCAGCAATGGTTATGTCTGTTATTATTGCTTCATAAATCATATTCTCTCACCTTTTAAGTATTTTCTCAATATGTTGAAGTTTTTTTGCATGATTGTCTCAAGCACTGTCACTTACTTCACTTGTCCAAGCTAATGAAGAGGTGAAACAATRGCTGCTTTTTCTCTGGAAAGGGTATGTTACACTGCAGTGTTAGTGATCTGGTGTGTGTTAATAATTCTGGAGCCATGAAAAGTACAGACCATGCTGATGAAAGGTAACTTTTTTGCTTCTGTTTGGAATGAAAGCACTCTTATTTCTCACATATAATGCAGAGCAGAACTGAATGTGTTTCAGGAGCATGCAGAAAACATTAACTGAAATGTGTTATGGATGTAAATCTGCAGAAGTACAAATACAGGTTATTTTCACTTTATCATTCTGGCTAATTGTTTGTTTATTTAGAGTAACTTAAATACTGAATAAAGAAACTTAATATTTTGCATGACTATATAGCTTTGATGATTCATTTATTCACGTTATTAGTATCTTGGGAAATGAATATAAGGAATATTAATGTTTTACCAAAATTGAGTCCGAGTTTGGAATTCTTCAATCCCAGTTTTTGTGTGTTCCTCGCTGAGGCCTAACACACCACTCAGTGGCTGAAATTCTTGTCCTGCCATCAGTTTTAGACAATGGCTTGGTTGACAAGAGRAATATTTGGGAGCTCGGTTATCACTGTTGTCTCCAGGTGGAGTAACTCAAATCATTAATGTGTTCATATGCTGCTRTATTTTTGTTTCATCAGTTGTGTTCTTCTGTGTATGACTGCACCCTGTACGCATTTCAGTCTTCATTCGGAATGACGACTCAGGACTAGATCAGTGCTTAGCAGTGGCAGAATGACATTTAACATGTCTCCAGAATGAGGTCACTTAACCTTTTATATAACTACATTTAACTATTTATTTTTGAAGAAAAAAAAAGTTGTCTTGGCTGGAACACTGTTTTTAGAGTCTTTGCTCAATCACGTTTTTTGAATACTGCCAAGGGTGGTGATCCCACTGCTTACGTGGGTAAGCATTGCTCTCTCATTGCTTGACACCCCTATTTTTTTTTCCTAATGTCCAGCCTGAACCTCCGGGGTGAACTTAAGGTAATTTCCTTGTAATGCCACTTCCTACCCGGGTTAAGAGATCACCCTTACCCAGCTACACCCTCCTTCCAGGCAGTTCTGGAGAATAAGGTCACCCCTGAGCCTCCTTTTCTCCAGGCTAAACACCCCCCACTTCCTTCAGGAAGGACTAGTGCTCCATTCTTTCAAAGACTGTTGACTTAAGTCCTGATGCTGGGCATGGTGATTAGCCTGATGAAAGCTAAAGCTGTCAGAACCAACTTAAAAGTCCTTTCTAGGGTGAGCTTTGCCTATTCACAATTTCAGTAAGAATAACTTCTCTTTAGTGTAGCAGTGACCTAAAAATTAGGATTCAAAAGGGGAGGAAGGGAAAAGCAACAGTGTTTGCTAAAACTTTATTACTACCAATTCAGGTATAAGGGAAGATAATGATGTCTTACCCTGCAGAAAAACATCACCCATTCCACAGCAGGTAAAGAAAAAATTACAATGGAAGAACACAGGAACCTGTCCATGGAAATGTGTGTACATTGTGCTGTTGTGCTACAGTTTGTCTCTTATACAAGCTGCATCCCAGAGGCTGCTTCTTTCTGCTTGAAGGACAAGTACTTGGCAGGTGATTTATGGCTAAAAGAGAGAAAGTGGAAASCTGTGGCATTTTTCACATTTGGACATCTGGAAACAGGTAACTGCATATAATCCTTTCATGACTACAGTGGCATGAGGGACCAACTGAATAGCAGGGTGTAGTTCTAAAGTTGAGTTGCTGAGTATTTTCCCAAAAACAGTGACTGGAGCTCTACACATGAAAAGAGCAGTTGGCCTTTGACCTCCTGTCATGTCCAGCTCATTCTTTAGCATGACATCTCATCTGGTATCAGCAGCACCTGTAGCTGTAGGAGCAGGGAGCAGAGCAGGGGTGCATGGCAGAAGTGCCAGCCAAGGCCACAGCAGTGCCTTTAAAGACATTTACAGCATTGACAATGACACAGGTCTGTACCCTTCTAGGTGAGGGAGGAAACCATGTCTGAGTCAGAGACAGACTGTTGTAGAGTGCAGATGAACAACCATTTCCTCTGATTTTACTAGAACAACCTCTGTTCTCCAAGAAGCTCCTGTAAATGCTACAGAAGCGGAAACTCCCCCATTACTCATTTACAATCTTCCTCTTCAGTTTGAACAGTGGTGAATGTTTAGAACGTTGGGTTGGGATTTTTTAATAGCACTATAACAAATTAACTGCAGTCAGCTGACACACTGATAAGCTTCTCCAAGCTTCAATCTACAATAAAACTCCCCAACAGGAGACCTAACTTATGTCTTTAAAATAAATGCAAAAAAGAAGAGGTTGAAGACAGTAATGTGACATTGCTCAGGTCGAGGGAACCACCTCTTACAGTTACAGCTAGGGATGGCTGGAGAGTTAAAATTGCCAGGTAATATTTCGCATTTTTATTGATGGCATTTATCCCATGGTTTAACATGTTAATTATACTGTAATAAACATGGCTTTAATATTAAACTTTTCCTTATTATCCAAAGTCACCACAGTCCATTTCAGTAAATATAAAAATATATACTTAATACTTTGTACAATACTGGTTTTTGGTCCAAACAAAAATGGATCAGAAAAGCCAATAAACTTACTTTAAGAATTCCCAATTTTAAAGATTTTCTAAATGGATTTAGGCAACTTTGAATAATGGGATTTACATAAAATCTGAGACAATACTAAACAAAAATGGCCGTAACACACAAAATTAAAATTTCAATTTCACAGATTTGTTATGCCAAAAAGTACATAGAGAAACAAAATTGTATTTACACGTTTCATAATAAAATAACAAGGCGAGACAGGTGATAAAGGGCTGTAAGAATGAAAATATAGAAATAGCATATAATTATTAAATGAAGAACTACAGATCTAACAAGTCCTTAGCATGGATCATCCTTTAATCAGTCTTCCTCTATCAGAAAATTTTAGTGCACAATACACTCACTCACTTCACACATACACCAGCACAAACTCAGCATAGAAATCATTCGTTATCAACATTCTCTACTCTATACAGCATCCCTTGCTGATATAATTACAATTTCGAGGCGTCAGTAAACGCAGATGAGCGCACATAGTGGTGCGGATGAAGAGGTATCGGACAAGCCATTCACTGTGCAGGCTCTACTCAGGGCTACAGCCAGACCATGCCGAGTCAGTGAAAGAAGTAACTTGAGACTTTTGCTTGAGAACAGCCTTGTTGCCAACTTTACTTGCTACCAAAGAAATGTAACGGGGAGAGGGGAGGGAAGGACARGAAAACTAAGTTTTATATTCCTTTAGGCAGATCTGACTTCCAACAAGCCAGCGTGAGGTACAATYCCAGTAACTGAACAATTCAGGGTAGTAGCTGAACAATTCAGTCAGGGTAGAAGCTGAACAATTCAGGATAGTAGCTGCTTCCAATGTTTTTGATGCTTTACCGATCAGGCRTTTACTTTCTACGTCTAACTGCAGTCTTTATCCTCCGACCAGGAACTGAAGATCCAGAGAAAACATTTTTCCCATTAGTCCTATTAAAAGAAATTAGTAGTTCAGAGTTTAGGACAGTGTATCTGAAAATTCAGTAGCAGCACTGAGTAGATATTCCAGAACAACTGTTTCATAGTCTTGTCTCACTAGTTACCAGCTGGCAACAAGCAGCMAAGGATGAACAGGAGGAAGAGAGTTCCAGAAACCAATTAAATCTCTCTTATTCAGAAGGTAAGCAGCAGCATACCAGCTGGATACGGGTTCTACCTTTCGAGAACAAGACAATCTCACATGTGTTGATGTGTGACATTCCTGACAGCTAGGCTCCTTCACAGATAGCGGTGCTTAGTTAGCCAGTCAAGCTAATACAAGGAAGGATGCCAAATTTAGTTTCAAGCTCCAAGGTTCATCTGAACACCTGATGATTTAACAGCAGTAGAGGCTGAACACTGTCCACTGATATTACCCGAAGCTCAAGGGAAATTCTGATATGGTCTCTTACCCCAATGTAAATGTCGAAGGCTGGCTGAACGAAAATCCTGAAGTGCCAGAAGGCGGTGCAGGAGCTGCTGGTGCAGGAGGATTTGCAGCAAAAGTGAATACGCCTGGGTTATTTGAGAAGTTGAAATTGGAAGTACTTCCAAATTGGAATACAGAACCTGGGAAGATGGGGTGGAAGCAGMAGGAAGTAAGAAAGTTGCAATTTGAGTTAATCCTTTCCAGCAAAATCCTCATGTTCTTCCCCATTATCGCTAAAGATTTTTTTTACAGGTTGCTCAAGATGACAGAGTTGGGAGATGCACCAGAAGTGTCAGATTACTACAGGAACAGTTCATCAGCAGTTTATGATTCATTTATTATTTAATAATTATTTATTAATCCATTCACACACACTGAGGAATTTTTAAAGTAATACTGTGGGCACACTGATRATTAGGTGTTAGCTAACACCTGTGCCACCATTAAATTTATAYCTGTGCATACAGAGTTTATTAATAAAGTCTTAAATTGTAAATTTATATTTAGGTAAACTTTCCTGTGTTCATGCAGTTCATCTGGGCACCTTTTTTCCTTTAATGTGCTAACAGCACCTCATCTTAAAAAACCCGAAACATTCCAACCATCAAAGGAACTGATAAGCAATGCAAACTATCTAGGGAGAACTTTACCTTTAAACTGCTACCTGATCAATGAAAGATCRACTGAGTGATGTGTTGTGTACTAAGCTACTAATTAGTACAAAAATGCTGGTTACTTTTAATGGAAGCTATTTTGTAAAACTTCTGWGAGGAGAAAAGGAGGCTTTTCCCTTTCAGTACTTGATGTGGTATCAAATAGACAGTCTGGCACTGGTTTTAATTATTACTAGTATGGAACAAATCTTTCTTAAGCTTGAATTATAAGCGTGAATTATAATTATTCATTCTCTGCCCCTTTCCTATGGTATTTTATACTACGTTAGTAAAAAGATTTTCATAAATACTTAAAAAAAACCCCAAAACAATTCTGACTGTATTTTATACAATGAAGCCTGTTAAAGTCAGGTAACTAAGAATTTCTCAAAAATTAACGATTTTGCAGTGCTTCTGCCCTTCTGTTTTGCACAATCTTACCAGTGATTACTCCACGGTTTTCAACAATTCCTTTTAATCATTAGGTTTCTAAAGAAAACACTCAAAATTTAATGGTAGAGTTGCAACCGCTGTGTCTGCTAAGTCTCTGTGGAGAAGGCTTGGGCACATTGTGTCCCCCCAGCCAGGACTGGGACATAAATGACAACCCCATAACCATTATTTTTACGGAGGGCAATTCTTACATTTAAATGCATGCACAATGCCAAAGTTGT